TTTATGTCCAACACAAAAAGGGGTCTGAAAGTTAAGCAACTTAGCTAAGATCATCCAGCAGTTAACGGGCAAGAGCTAGGATTTAAACCAAGTTCTTGGGACATGAAACGGACATTGAGTCCATTTCCCCTATTGCCTTTTGTTTCATTTTGAGTTCATTATCACTTCCCTCCAGACCACTGCAAAAGCCTCCACCTCCCTGTGGTCTAACCAATCAGCTGTTGTTGGGTCCTCTTCCCTAAGCTGAATTCCACGTACACCCTGGCAGACAGCATCCAGCAAGGTGAACCCCAGAACACAGGGACTTTCAATAAATGCTTGTCCAACTAATGAAACGTCTGCTGGAAGGCTTCCTCACCTTCCTTCTCTCTCTAAAACTCCCTGGAGGTCAAGGTCCTCCAGCTCTGGTTTTCCCTAACTTTGGTCAGTTTATTCCATGAACACCTATTTCACCCACTGTCATGTCCTGAATGTCTGTGTCCCCCAACATTTCTGTATTTGGAGGTGGGGATTCTGGGGGAGGTAATTAGGTTTAGATTAGGTCATAAGGGTGAGACCCTCATGATGGAAATAGTGCCTGATGGGATTAGAGAAAGAGAAGATCTCTTTTCACCCTCTCTCCAGGAGCCTGCACCCAGGAAAGGGCATGTGAGCACACAGCAAGAAGGTGGCTGTTTACAAGCCAGAAAGTGAGCCCTCCCTAGACAGCAAATCCGCCAGCACCTTGATCTTAGACATCCCGGCCTCCAGCACTTGAGAAATAAATGCCTGTTGTTTAAGCCACCTAGTCTATGGTATTATTCCAAGAAACTGAATGGAGTAGGACACTCACATTGGAACCACAGTCTCCAACAAACCCTAGACATGCCCTACTCTCTACCCGGAACACCCTTTCCCTAACTTCCTCTGGTCACCCTGCCACCAATATCTTTTCAGGTTTGAATGAATGAACAAGAGACTCTTCTCAAAGGTAAGGTACAGCTCTCTTTTTTTTTTTTTTTTTTTTTTTTTGAGACGGAGTCTTGCTCTGTCACCCAGGCGGGAGTGCAGTGGCCGAATCTCAGCTCACTGCAAGCTCCGCCTCCCGGGTTTACACCATTCTCCTCCTCAGCCTCCTGAGTAGCTGGGACTACAGGCGCCCGCCACCTCGCCTGAGTAGTTTTTCTGTACTTTTTTAGTAGAGACGGGGTTTCACCGTGTTCGCCAGGATGGTCTCGATCTCCTGACCTCGTGATCCGCCCGTCTTGGCCTCCCAAAGTGCTGGGATTACAGGCTTGAGCCACCGCGCCCGGCCTGGTACAGCTGTCTTAATGAGCCTAAGCCCCGTGGGTAGAGTATTCCTTTTGCAGCTTCAGGCCAGGGAAAGCATTTATGAAATACCTACAGCAGGTTCTAGAATGTGTTCTGCCATGTCAACACAGGAGTGGTTACCTGTGTTCCTTGTCTAATGTAAACTAATCTCTTCTGCCCAGGAAGTAAGGCTTTGTCTCAAATCTCAGCTGAATAAGACCTTTCCATTTAACGTTTATTAAGCTGGGACTTGAGACAAAGCCTTACTTCCTGGGGATACAAGAAGGGTTTCTCTTAGAGTTTCAAATGCAAAATTTGGAAAACCAATTGATAGGACACAGAATATAACAGTGAAAAACTTTCCAGTCAGATGGTAAGAAAAGAGGAAGCCCAGGCTCCAGGGCTATCTCTCTCTCTTCCATTCCTTGACCTGTACTGGAACTTTGCAGTTAAAGCACCACTACTCTTGACACCACCTTTGCAAAAATTATACCTGAGAAAATTATTACAGTGAAAGAGATCTGACCTAACCAACTCCTTCTTGTTTTTAACCTACAACCTATCCTTGTTCATTCCTGGGCATAGGCCCAAACAACTTTGGGAGGAACTTAGTTTATAGTTTAACTTTGAAACAAAGACAGTAACAGACCTTTCCCAAGACAAACCCCTTCTTGACGGGTGACTATCCTGCTCTTCCAGGACTAAAAAATTAGCCACAAGATTAGAAATTGTGGTTTGGGAGTCACGTAGCTAGAGGTCACAAAGTTCTAAACCTCCTAATTGCTCCTAGGGATAATATTACTGTTGTAAAGCCGAAAATCAGTGCTTGAGATACTTTGCAGAGTACTTTGCGGACCGTGTTTTGAGGCATTAGCTGATGCTACCCAGATAGATAAACTGGCTCTTCTGGTCTTGTGGCCCCCACCCAGGAACTGACAGCGCAAGAGGACAGCTTCTATTCCCTATGATTTCATCTTCTATCTGACCAATCAGAGCTCCCCACTTTCTAATTCCCTACTCACCAAATTATATTTAAAAACCCTAATCCCTGAATTTTTGGAGAGACTGATTTGAGTAATAATAAAACTCCAGTCTCCCATTCAGCTGGCTCTGCTTGAATTAAAGTCTTTCTCCAGTGCAGTTCCTCTGCATTGATATATCGGCTCTATCTGGCCAGCAGGCACGAAGAGCCCATTGGGCAGTTGCACGCTTTCAAATGAAAGGATATACCCACGGGAGAATGGCTTCTATGAAGACATTACTCCACAGAGGACCGGTCCTGAAGTCTTGTGTTTGGTTAATGTACTAAGGTATTAAACTAATAAACAATATATAAGAATCAATCATGCACATGCTCTCACTCTCTCTTTCTCTGTTTTGTTTTTTGCATCTTCAATTATGAGGGCATCTGTTTATGATTTGGTGCTTGTGAAATGCGCTGGCCCCAAATGGAAAAATCACGATTGTCGTATATGTGTCCAATACATTGTAAAGCACCCAGTGGGTACGTTAAGACTACTAGGAAATGTAGTAACTAGGTGGAAGAATACAAACAAATGGGATGATGGAAGAAAACCAACACTGCAATAAATTCAACATTATATTATTTAAGCAACTTAATAATTTTTCCTCCCAAAGAGGTAATGCTGGTCTTCCCCAGTCTGCTGTTGAAACTTGAGACTTTCCTTCTGCAAGGTAGTAAGTATTGATGAAGGTCAAGAGAAAAACTAGGCTAATACCCTCAGATTACATTAGGATTACAATTCTTCAGTTCCCTCCTTAGGCCTAACAATGTTGTTGCAGTTCAAAACCTTGTAATGCATTGGAAGTTGTGTAAGCTAAAAGACACCTTCTAACTTGATCACCAGAATGAAGACCTTAAAATATACTGCTTTTCCTTGTTAAAAAAAAAAAAAAAGTATGAAGAAACCTTCCAATCAAATCTAAAGGGACCAAAATAGAGCAACATATGGAAAGAGATTATGGGATTAACTAATTACATGATATGCCTTAGAATGAGGCATGGGAAGCTTTCCAATCTTTTTGAGGAAATGATTGTAAATTCATATTCAACAACTGAATTCTATGCCTTTTATACTAAAACAAAACCAAGAAGCAAAGGCTAAAAACACTAGTAGGAAAATAGTTTTAAAGAATGAATAAGACCTAGTATCTGATAGCACAACAGGATGACTATAGTCAATAATAACATAATTGTACATTTTGAAATAACTAAAAGAGTAATTGGATTGTTTGTAACACAAAGAATAAACGTTTGAGGGGATGGATACGCCATTTTATATGATGTGATTATTACACATTGCATGTCTGTATCAAAATACGTCTTGCACCCCATGAATAGATACACCTACTACGTACCCGCAAAAATTAAAATATTTTCTAAATAAAAACGTTAGTAGGTTATTTTATTCAGTCACATATATTAAGTCTCCAAATAAACCAAGAAATATCTATTCAGAAGAGTGAATTTGTATCCAATGTTAATAAATAAACTCACCTAATTTTCTACTTCTGTCTTTGGGATTTCCAAAGTTAGTATTTTAACAGCAACATAAACAGTAAGCAGCATTTGTTCAGGATTCTCTTCAATGACAATAACCATTCAAAGAGATTTGTTTCCTGAACTGAAATTTAAATTAGCAAAAATTGACAGCTATACTTCAAGCTGTTTTAATTGACCAATTTAAGACAAATAAGTGTTAAAAAATCAATACAAATGTATTTTAATGAAAATCTATAAACTCCCCATAATATAAACAAGTGAGGAGATTCACTGAATACCTCCTCTCTCTCTTTCTCCCTCTCTCTCACACACAGACACATACACACACCACTAGGACTCTTACAAACAGTAGCTGACCAGCTAAGGAAAATGATAAGAAAGATTGCAGCAAATTCTGTAATCAATGATTGTAACCAAATCTTTATAGCTAAAAGAACAGGCTTAGGATGGATTTACTGTTAAGCCAATCAAAAATGTAGGTGCCAAACCCTACTAGCAGATATTTCTCACAGGCTTTTTTATATTTATAATCCCTTTTCTATGAACATATACCCTGAATTCAGAAGAGTATGGAAAACAACAAACATTAATAAGGCGAAAATGACAAACGGCACTGTGTGTGATGAATAACGACACCATGGCATGACAATTCTGGCAAGTGCCAATCCTCTTTGGCACACCCAAGCTCTTAGAATGGAAGAAAACAGCTGGTCAGGTAAACGTGTTTGTCCTTACCCTAAGCAATGTCAAAATTTGCATATTGTGGTGGGCAGAAGAGAGTTAAATTTTTAAGCGTTGAGGTGGCCATCAGATGCTAGATAGTTATTCGTTTCTCCTTTGATGATATAAAATTTGCATTTTTATCCTAACTTTACTATAACTTTTACCTTTGGTAAGTGCCTTAGAATAATTCATTGCTCTAACCCAAACAAAGCAAAACAAAAGGTGAAGAAGTGGAAAACCAACATAGCAATATCGTTTGCTTCCATTTCTCGTGATAACATTCCTCGCAACCTATTTAACCTGGTACAAGTCTTCTTAACTTCTGTCTAAATGCTTTCTGCTTCTGTGCAAAGCAGTCACTAAAGTACTGAATATATTATATACTGATTGCATTGACATTAAAAAACAATACTGTAGGTATGTTTGGAGATAAATCCTATCTTTCCCCGCCATCAGCACTTACCTTCTGGGAAATCACGTGGCTGTACCACATAGAGAAAGATATGCACTAGTTCAAAGAGAATGCCAATGGGTCCAGCTGTATGGGAGTCTTGGGTCTCATAATTTGTTGCAGGCAATTCATAATTCCAAGCCTTAGGAGCATCTGTGGATGAAGGCTGCTCTCCTGAAAAAGAGTTCCCGCACAGCCCCAGCAGCAACAGGGAGCCGAGTACAAGGGCCATAGCTAGCAAGATCCTCCAAACATGAGGTAGAACTGGGTGCCTCCTGCCTCAGAAGTTCTGGAAGCCTTGGGGAAGACAAGCGTGTTCCTGAGCAGAAGTGGAGCAGGAAGCACTGGATCTGCTGAATCTTCAGTTTTCTGTCTGAGTCTGGCTTGAGGCGAGGGACATCTCCAGAAGAATGTTCTCCAAGGGGGTCATTCACTCAAGGCACCATCCCTGGCAGGGAGAGAAACAGCAGCAGAGTCATCAACGCATGTAACCTGCCTGCACCTGGAGCTGCCCGGAGAGGAGGCTGCAAAGCTTTAGGGCGAGGCCTCGCGCCTAATCCGGATGGGTGGGTGGACAGCAAGCACACAAACTGCTCCAGAGCCACAGGGCAGGCGCTGGCATCAAAGCCATGACTCAGATAAAGTCCCTCCTCAGGAGGGCCAGACTCAGAACACACACCCTTGATGTGTTCGGGAAATACTAGGTTTTGTAGAGAAGGCTTGGGATCTTGGAAACTAACATTTATTGAGCACTTACTATCTTTCAGGCACTGTTATCTATGCTTCATAGATAGAAACAAGGTCCTCCTTGTTTGAGGTATTATTCCATTCTGCAGATGAGGAAATTGACACAGAGAGGGTTCTGGTGACTTGCCCAAGGTCACAGGTGATTAACCATGCGGCCAAGAGTCAAACTCACTAGTTTGCCTTCAAAGTCCAAGATCTAACTATGACGTCAAGACACTGTCAGTACAGTGTCCCCCTCTCAGGCTCTAGTAAGAGCCACTGGGGTCCCAGTAATCCAGTATATGCTTATATGCTTATTTCTTCTCCAAGTGTGTGTTGTTCTCCTTGCTGCTGGAGATATATCTTACTCTGCCTTATATTCTACTTATTTACTCACTAATCTCATTTCAAACATCCCCCTCTCTACCTCACCCCCAATCCAAAGTAGAAGGGCATGGCCTCAAAGCTAGGGACCACACTGTTTGAGTCTGGACACATGTGTGACACTGGAACCTGTCTTTCTAATAAGCTTACTAAGTAATCCTGATGGAAACCTTCACCCCAAGTAACCACCTTGACAACAAGGTTCTCAGAGATGACAGCCAGGGCAGAGGGAGACTCCTGCCTATCCCTTGGGAGAGGGAGAAACACAACAAGAATCCTAAAAGCAGCTGTGGCTCCAGCATCTGGGAAGGAAATGGGACTGAAAGTGCCTCCAAGGTGGACCCTGCCCTATTCTTCTTTCAATCCCCAGACCTTAACACTGGCCATGGCACACAGTCGGTGTTTCGTAAGAGCCTGCTGAGCCGCTTGTTTCACTCATGGCACCATCCCCGGCAGGGAAAGAAACAGCAGCAGAGTCAACAATGCATGTAACCTGCCTGCAGCAAGAACTGCCCCAGAGAGGAGGCTGCAAAGCTTTAGAGCAAGGCCTTCAGCCTAATCCAGGTAGGTGGGTGGAAACCAAAGACCGCCTGCTTCAGAGCTACAGGGCAGGCGCTGGCGTAGAAGCCAAAATATGTTATTTCCTTGTGCAGTTTCATGAGACTAGGCAAATCAGCACAGGACCTGGAAGGATCCGGGATGTGCCACTCTTCCTCTCCGTATTAAGGGTTCTGGAGCAAGAGCAAGCTGCTGTCATTTTGTGAGCTAGATACATACTTACTAACTTTCAAGATAAGGACACGGTGCTCCTGAAACCCATACTGTAAGAAACCGAAGGGGGATGATGAAGAAAGTGACATACTTTACAAGAGGCGAGAGGACCCACTACCAATGTTCCAAGTCAAAGAAAGCTTTGGACAAGAGATGGGATTTCATGAGCTATTTGAACAAAGATGTTAATTCATATCTAATCCCTCCATTGCCTCATCTTCTAAGTCCTGTCCTACTCCAATTACTCCTGCACAGAGCTACCAATACAATGGCCCTAAACTCTTCCTTTGTCAAATCATGGGCTGCTGAGATCCCAGGTGGCTGCCAGTACTAACCTCGTGCCCCACGCTTCAGGTTCTGCCCTCCATCACACCCACAGTAGACACCTCGACCCTGGTGTTTCCAAAGGGCGCCCTTCGAACATCTACTGCAAGCACAACACACCACACGTACATTTTATCTTTTTTTTTTTTTTTTTTTTTTTTTTATTGCTAAAGGACAGGCAGAGAGCTAAGCCTCCAGCACAGCAGCTGGAAGGATTAAAGGCTCAGATGCTGAGAAGGCCCACTTTCTGGTAATTCCA